GTGAAACACCATGCCTAACGGCGGCAGATGGGGCAGGAGACTTTCACCCAGGTGCTGACCTCAGGATAGGCTGTCCCACAGGGTGTGGCTTCCGAATAGAAAGGGGCCAGAGGGCTGTACTTAGCAGCGAAGTAAAGGGACCCTCTGCTTTCCTGTAAGGCACTATGTAGAACCCCAGAAAGCATTTGAATTGTGTGGCCTGGGGAAGGGGAAGAGAGTCCTCCTGCCGCCAGAGACAGATTAGAGCTGCCAGCAGGGTGGATAGGGTCTCTAGCCACCGAAGCAGCCAGTGGGACTCCTGCTGCCAGAGAGAGGGACTAGAACTGCCCATGCAGCGAATCAGGGATTTTTGACCTGCTCTGAAGAGACCCGAGATAGTGTGCATGAACTTCCCCAGCTTTACTGAGATCAGCTGTGCAGGAGACCTGCATGGGGCTGACTTTGTATCACCTCCCACTTGTATCCGAGGTGCAGGGGGGCCAGGACCTAGCAGGGGGGGTTCTCTGCCTGTTTGTAGCTTTGTGCGTTTTTAATTGCTGAACAGATGTTCACCTTCCTGGCTTGCACTGGGGAGACAGACCAGCGAAAGCTGGGGTTTGTGCCTGCATTGTGGAGAGTTTGAACTGAGCGTCCTGTGAGATCAGCCAACCAGATCTGGGAAAGGAGAGGCAGAGCATGCCAACCTCTCCCGCAGGCTAGGAGCGCCACCCCCAACGGGAAAGGGGCTGGTTCAGCTCATTGAAGCCCAAGATATTCTCCACAGGGTACAGTCCTGAGGGGGAAGGGAGAAGAGCTCACAGGACAACAATACAAGAATAAGACTCTCAGGGACTATTGTTTGGGAACTGGAGGGAAAGCTTAAAACCCCTTCTGGGGGCTAGGGAGGCAACGTAATCATCAGAGTCTCTTTTGATAAAACCCACTGATCCCAGGCTGCTGAAACTGCCCATATAGAAAGGCAACAGACTGAATTCAATCTAAATCTGCAGCAGGCCATTGTATGGGGAACTAGAATTGGACGATTTGGTAGAAAGAGAGGAGTTGGCTTTGAAGCAGAGACTAACTTCCCCACAGTGAGTGCCTGACAGTGATATCTCTAAGTAAGAGAAGCAATAGCCCGAGCTACACTAGCTAGCCTGCACCCTAGACTCTCTTCAGAAGACTCTGGAGAAAGCCCAGGCAACCACAAGGGGGAGGCAAAATAGCTGACAAGAGGAGGTGGTCCACAGAGAGCCTCAGACCAATCAGCTACATAAGGACACCAGAACTAAACCCAGACAGCTTGTGACATTGGCTGACACACAAGTACCTCCCAAAAGACCCGAAATCAGCACACAAAACAGTGAGCCTCAGACAACATAAGCTGCCCAGATGAAACCCATCTGGTTAACTTTTTAAAAATTTTTAATTTTTATTCGTTTTTAGAAAAAGAAAAAAATTAAAAAATTTTAAATTGATTTTAATTAACTTTTTTTAAGGATTTGTTTTGTCTTGCTTTGCTTATTATTACTATTTTTTTTGGTTTTGTTTTTTGTTCTGTTATCAAGATTTTCTTGACATTCTCTGCTTTACTGCTGGGATATTATTATAACCAATAAGTTTACTGCTTTTCTATGTTGTTTTCCCCATATCTCTTATTGGCCTCCTTCCCTGCCCTTCCTTTACCTCTCTGTCTCTTCTTGTTCCATTGGTATAACTTTTTTTTCCTTTTTCTCCCCTTTTAGTCTCTGTCTTCCTGTCTTTTTGTTTGTTTGTCTTTTTCTTTTTCAACTATTTTCCTTTTCTATTCTAGACCCTTATTTTTTTGCTCACCCTTCTTTCCTTTCAGAATCTTTTCTCTGCCCCTTTTATCTCTCAGTAGCTTCTCTACTTTTAAAAATTTTATTTTATTTTATTTTTTACTAGTAGCAATAATATCCTTTTCTCTCTTTTTTGCTTGAGTATTTGTGTTCTCTCTTTGGTTTCCCAATTCTACTTTCTCTTGGGATATTTTCATTGTGATTGTCAGGATATTTTGTAAGTTCTTGTTTATTGCCTGGCAGTTTGGCTTGCCTTTTTAGCACCTGTACAACAACTCACACTATGTGGAGGTGGCTAAGCCTCATAGTTACTCCCATGAATGGGTCAACAACAATCTAGACATAATCACAACCGGAGAGCCCAAAGAACCCACAAAAGGGACACCCACGAAAGGGACATCCCTAGAGCATATAGCACAGAAGCATAAGGAAAACACACCTCTGGGTCCCACTGGACATACACTACAAAATCCCACCCCACAAGACTGGGAGACAGCAAATATATCTAACATAGATACAGGCACTGTCACTTCCCATATAGTGGAATTTTCACTGATACATCTCCTAGGGCAAGAGAAACAAAATAAAAAATAGACAAATAGGACTACATCAAACGAAAAAGTTTCTACACAGCAAAAGAAATCAGCCTCAAAATACAAATGAACCCCATGGTATGGGAGAATATATTTGCTAAGGATGCATCTGATAAGGGGCTAATTTCCAAAGTGTACACAGAACTCATATACTCAACAAGAGGAAGACAAACAATCCAATTAAAAAATGGGCAAAGGACCTGAATAGACACTTCTCCAAAGAGGACATACAGATGACCCAGAGACATATGAAAAAATGCTCAACATTGCTAATTGTTAGAGAGACGCAAATTGAAACCACAATGAGGTATCACTTCACACCTGTAAGAATGGCTACCATTAACAAATCAACTAATGATATGTGCTGGCGAGGATGTGGAGAAAGGGGAACCCTGGTACACCGCTGATGGGAATGCAGACTGGTACAGCCATTATGGAAAACAGTATGGAGTTTCCTCAAAAAATTAAAAATGGAACTCCCTCTTGACCCAGTGATCTCACTTCTAGGAATATATCCTAAGGATCCTGAAACGCTAATCAGAAAGAATATACACACTCCTATGTTCACAGCAGCACAATTTACAATAGCTAAGATCTGGAAACAGTTCAAGTGCCCATCAGTAGATGAGTGTATAAAAAAGCTGTGGGACATTTACACCATGGAATACTATGCAGCTCTAAAGAAGAAGGCTCTTGTACCCTTTGGGACAGTATGGATGGACCTGGAGAATATTATGCTAAGTGAAATAAGCCAGGCAGAGAAAGACAAATATCACATGATCGCACTTATATGTGGAATTTAAACACAATAATCTGGTGAACAAAATAGATTCAGTGACATAGAAACATGGAACAGATTGATGAATCTCAGAGGGAAGGTAGGGATTGGTGGGTGAGTGGGTGGGGAGAGATTAACCAAAGAATTTACATGCATATATGCATAACCCATGGACACAGACAATATTGTGGTGGAGGCTTGGGTTTGGGAGTGGGTGTGTGGTGGAAGGGGTCAATAGGGAAAAAAGGGGACATCTGTAATATTTTGAACAATAACAAAAAGAGGGAAAAACACACACACACCAAACACACAGAAAAAAGAGATGTTGCAGTTTGCATTTCCATAACCTCTTTCATGGACACATTAGGTTGGAATTGTATGTACAGTGCAGTTTCGAGAAACACATGCAATGTTACGGAGAGATAAGCATATACTTATAACCATACATATGTATGTAAACACATTTGTATAAGTAGAGAGAAAAGTGAGAAAATATAAATATAGACAGGTTAGTTTTGGTTAACCCAGGGAGAAGAAACTGGAGAATGGTGGGGATAAATGATTCATTTTTTTCCTTCATGCATTGTATTTTTATTATTATATCTAGCTGTTTTGCTCTTATAATTAAAAAAATTAGTAAACTTAAAACTTAAAAATAAAACAAGCAAACAAACAAAAAACAAAGAATAATATACAACCTTGGCCCTGAAGGGGCTTGCATATGGGGAGCATCCAGGAAAGAACTTAGAAAAACATAAACAGGCAATGTGTTAAAGTAGTAGACCCTGTGAAAATAGTTTTCCTTTAAAATTTTTTCCTTTATAACTGCTAATGTGCTGTAGTTAAAATAAATTATATTAGTAGGAAAAAGTTTTTAAAAAGCAAGATGGAATATCTAATTCTGTCAGATGTAAAAATGCATTAAAAAATTTAAAAGGGCCTTTGGGGTCCAGATTGTGTTTGTTAAATACTATTATACTATTTTCCAGTAAAAGAACCAGCATTATTTGGAGGAGTGGCTGATCCCAGATCTGGCGCAAGAAATCTACAAGATGATCCAGACAGCAAGGAACCTTCATGAAACACCTAGAGCCACTGTCCCTAAGCTATATCAGATGGCTCCTTTTCTGTGGAGAAGGTCAACAGGCAAATCTAACTCCAATTAGCCTGTAGCTTCTGTGCAGGAAGTCTGTGGAGTGGAAGGGTCAATCTCCAGCCTTTGCCTCTCCCAGTCCCATCTACCACCCCTAAATACTGCTATTGGGTGCACAAACTACTACTTCTACTTCAAGCAGCTGAATTCCTGTGACCCAGATGTCTCAGAAAACTTTACCTGCACTACCATATGCAACAAGTGTGACTATGAGAATGACTTTCAAATCTATCCACCAGAATTTATCCAATCAGAGGCATCTTTCCCTACCAAAGTGAGTTGCACTTAGCCCAGCAACAGGGAAGCTGAGTCTATGCATAGTCAATGGGTGAGCTAAACAAGAACATGGGATTGGTTGTCTCAGAGTGATGGCTTGTTTCTACTCAGAGTGGTGTCATTTTGCTTCAGAACTCACCTAATTAATCAAAGCTGACAGCAAAGGATGAAAATTAATTACCACTATGGACACTGAAAAGAATAAGCTGAAGGATTCAGAGGCTGTATCAAAAAAAAAAAAAAAAAAAAAAGTTTCAGAAATGGTCTGTACAATGGCACAGCCCTGGGAGTGAGTGAGTGATCTCCTGAGTAACCTTTCAGTTGACAGGATGCTCTTACTGGGAAGGCAAGTCTGGCTGATACAGTGTTAGCCCACTCCACCACTTCTCATGGGGACTTACCTGAATGCAAGCCCCTGTCTTCACCTTGCACAGGTAGCAGACTAAGGCCCATCGACTGGGCGGGATGTGGGAGATCTTCGTGATTGGTTCCATCCTTTCAGGACAACCAATGCTGACCTACAAATAAAATACCATCATAAGGCAGAGACACCAAGGCATTCCCAAAGTGCTTTTCACAAACAGTAAAGGATGTAACATGAAGCTCAGAATGTCAAAACAATGAGGTGAACCATGTCTCTTAAGGTTACTATGGAATCAAGAATAAATAAAACTTGTCTCTAGCCACTGCTCAGACCTTCAATCATTTCCAGTAATGTAAATGATTCATATATAGGATGAAAGGGCAGGAGTGAAGACTAGGCAGGGTTACCTTAATAAATCAAATATATCTACACTTTACTTAGGAACCAAAGAAAGTTACTAAAGAAAGAAATTAAAATTCACAAAATATAGCACCTTTCATCTTAGAGATGGTATCACATGCTTTGTTTTTTCATTTAATCAACTAAGGATGAAAAACAGAGGCAGTGACAAGCCTTTCAGTTCAATTTACAAAGAAGCATGACATTGTTGGAAAGTAGCAGCAATCTGTATAATGAAGAGATTGCAGCACATAAGTGGAAAGGATGGGGATAATAACATTTGTGAACTACAGTCTTTATAATCACATATCTATCATTAGCTTACTTTACTCTCTCAGCCAGAGTAGCTTCAAAGGGAAATTGGTCTTTGGGAGAGTGCTAACAGGAGAAGAATGTTTTTAAAAGGATGGAAATTTTTTTTATATGAAAATAATGGATCAAGCAACTTCTAGTAAAAAGTGTTTTCTTCTTTTTAAGTGTCTAAGAAAGAAACAACTTTAAAAAGTGAAAGACTATTGAATAAGGATAAACTAGTACAAATTCTGCCCACATCAAGAAATCAACAGTAGGAAGATAGCCCAAAAGGTACTAGACACTGGGTACTAGAAACCATAAGAAAATATCAATAGGTGAGGGTTCTTTTACCTTTTTTTTTGGATCCTCATCTTTTACTTTTCTATTGCTTTTCAATAGAGGGAGGGAGGGAGACACATCGACGGGTTGCCTCCCGCATGCACCTGGGACAGGGACAGGATCAAGCCTGCAACTGAGGTACCTGCCCTTGGCCGGAATTGAACCCAGGACCCTTCAGTCCATGGGCTGATGCTCTAACCACTGAGCAAAACAGGCTAGGATGGCTTCTTTTACTTTTAAAGAACTCTTCCTGAGTCATGTTCCAGACTTTTATATGCTGAGCCTGCTCTATTAGCTGGGGGATTTGCTGCTGAAAAATAGTCACTCTCAACCAGAAACCTGAGAGTTCATTTCACATGTCTATAAGTTGGATATTCTTAGTAAGAAAAAGAAACCACTACTCAAATATTTTGGAAAATACTGACTTCTATATTCATAAGAATATTAATATACCTAGAACTTTCAGTTTAACTCTGAGCTCGATTGTTGAATAACTCCCCCTGGAACTGACATTAACAAGAATAAAGGCAGAAAAGTTTTAAAGGCGAATGAATCACTGATACAGTATCATCAGCTCCCCCATGAACTGAATTCTGCAGTCTATCTAGTCCTTCAGTTAAACTGCCTGGTAAATTTGCTGGCTTGAATAGGGGTTAGGGAAAGAGGATGTGAGTGGGATGCCCAAACAGGTTAATGAAAAGGGCAGCCATAAGAAGGAACAGTTATGCCTGGAAGCCCCTTTTAATCAACTTAGTGTGCACATAACCCATCAGGAAATATCAGAAACTGAAAAACCAGATTAAATGAGGGATGAAGTTTTGAATAAAGAAGGTCTTAAGTGTTAAGTCCAAGTTCTGAAAAGAGCTTCAAAAATCAAAGGGCACCCATCACAATGGTAAAAAGAGCTGTTGCTCACTTTATTTGTAATAGCTTAAAACTAGAAACAACTAGTGTCCATCAAAGGAGAATCGATAAATAAATCATGGTATAGCCAGACAATGGAATACTACTTAGTAATAGAAAGGAATGAATGTTGATACACACTACAACACAGAGTGCTAGCCAGACAGAAAAAAGAGCATACTGTATGATTGTATTTATATGAAGTTTGGAAACAGACAAAACTAATATAGTGATAAAAATCAATCTTGGGTAACAGGAACTGAGAGAAGGCCTGGAAAGTGGGTATGATGGATCTTTCTGGGATGTTCCATATCTTGGTCTGGGTTATGGTTACAGATGCACACATGTACAAATTCATGAAACCCTGCACTTAAGATTTCATATTTTAAAGTAAGTTTTACTTTAAAAAATCTGCTGCTTGCCCAGCTGGGCGTGGCTCAGCAGTTGAGTGTCGACCTAGGATCCAGGAGGCCACGGTTTGATTCCCAGTCAGGGCACATGCCTGGGTTGCTGGCTCAATCCCCAGTCAGGGGCGTGCAGGAGGCAGCTGATCAATGGCGACTTTCTCATCATTGATGTTTCTATCTCTCTCTCTCTCCCTTCCTCTCTCTGAAATCAATAAAGATATATTAAAAGGAAATCTGCTGCTTATACCCTGGTCTTTTACGCTTCTCTCATACAAATTTATCCAATACCACTGGTAGTATTACCTACAAATTAATCATCATGGGCTTACTTGCTCACTTGCATCCAAGAAGGATATGAGGGAGCTCAAGTGAAAGCATTAGCACCTCAGAAACATGGACAGGCATGAAGCATCTCCATGAAGCCTGAATCAGTCTGAATGTTGTGGGAAATGGGGACACTCTGGAGCAAATGACCTCACAGGCCTGGATGAGTTCTTACCTCTGGAATCCACAGGGCACAGCTGACATGAGCCCATTTAGTTCCTGTCTTGGTGGTCTTCATGGCTCCACCTTTCTTTGGACATAACAGGCATTGAGGATGAATGCCCAGGACACAGGAGCGACAAAGCCAGCTGCCTTCTGGGACCTTGAGGATGCCATAGCAGGCCTGAAGACAGGAGGAGAGAAGAGAATGGTTAGCATCTTCTCACCAGGGTCTATGTCTGTCTCTGGTACAGACACCAAGTACCTTCCCACCTTTAGGAAAAAGAGGCAATAAGGCCAAACAAGCTCATATCCAGGATTTAGCAATTTTAAAATAGAAAAGAAGGCAACTTCTAACAACTGTTCTAAGATCAGCATGTTTGTCTATACGAACTGACTTCAAATATAAGAGAATAAGACTAGAAGGAAATACATGCAAAGGCTAGCCTAACTGTTATCTGAGTTTGGGAATTATGCATTTTTTTCTTTTTTGCCTCAGTTTTCTAAAGCTTCTTCAATGATTATTATAATTAGTCAGTCATACACTTACAGAATAACTTCTAAATGTCATGCAGTGTTATGATCAAGAAAAAAGTATTAAAAATAAATATAATGAAAGTTCTGAGGAGCAAATGTGCTGATGTTTAAAGAGCCTAACAGTGCCTGGTACATAAAAAAACACTCAGCAAATTGTAGCAATTACTTGCTCGGGTTGAAGAAAAAGGGTCTTGTGAATAAATCCTGAATTGAATATAACATTAGACTAATCACAATATTCCATAATGAGTTCTGGAAGCTGCTTCAAATCCTTTATGAAATGAAGTTGGACAAACAGATGAATTACTGGGGAGAAGGGGGAGATTAGTTTGCAAATTCCAGGTTTCCCTTTTACTACCTCTAATTTTGCCCACCCTTCCCTACTTACTGTTCTAGTCTCATCATTAGAGATGAAATCTGGGGGCCACTTGGCTTCCCATGTGGTCTAGCACAACCTTTACCACTGACTGATTCACCATGGCAGCTTCAAAATCTGTGCCTGACCCAGGAGGTTCACCCACAGCTCAGATTCAAGTCACAACAGTTACCATCATGTCACCCTCCCCTCAAAATGGCCCCCTTTCTGGACTCTCTATCCATATCACCATCATGTTTCCCAGCTTCCAGATCCAAATTCCTGGACTAATATTATCCACTTTCCTTCATCTGTTGTCCCTGGGGTTTGCTAGGCCTCCCTACAGAGTGACCTCTAGAGTCTGACTCTCCTTCCCATCCCCACCACAATTGCTCCATCCAAGTCCTCATCATATCATGTATGCCTAGATTGATTTATTTCTGAATTCTCTTCCTCCCACTTCACACCTTCAATCCTTCCTCTGTTTGTCTGCCATATTCTTATTAAAACAATGATTTCATACCATGGCACAGAAATAAACCCTCTAGAAATTCCTCTGCTCTTACCCCCACTCCCATCTAAACCAGGAGTTGGCAGACTACTCAAGACCTGTTTTGTAAGGCCAACAAGCTGAGAATAGCTTTCATATTTTAAAAGGGATGTTGAAAATATGCAACAGGGACTATATGTGGCCCTCAAAGTCTAAAATATTTACTATTTGGTCCTTCAAAGAAAACGTTTGCTGGCCCCTGCTCTGAAGTCTGCTGCTCTTCACCTCACTTCTCAGGTAACTGCAGCCCCTCATGTCTGCTTTACTTCTTGATCCCCACCCTGTACTCAGTGTAGTTTCCCTCACCAGGTACGTAGTCCGCATCATGTAGTTTTCTCCACTTTGGCTGTTATGTTTCATCTCCTCAGTGAGATTAAAAAAAAATTTTTTTTTAAATGGATATTTTTTCATTGCTTTTCAGAGAGTGGAAGGGAGAAAGGGAGGGAGGGAGGGAGAGAGAGAAACACTGATGTAAGAGAGACACATTGATTGGTTGCCTCCAGCATGCACCCCAACCAGGGCTGGGGATTGAGCCTGCAACCGAGGTATGTGCCCTTGGCTGGAATTGAACCTGGGGCCCTTCAGTCCTCAGGCTGATGTTCTAACCACAGAGCCAAACTGGCCAGGGCCCAATTTTCATATTTTTAAATGAAAAATTTTAAGTTCACTGTTAAAATCTGAAGTCTATTGATGTAAAACTCTCTTCTAAAGAACTGACTATAAGTATATTATAGGTAGAGAAGAAAAAACATTTGACCTAATATGGTGGCAGTAAAGAAGCAAAATCATGCTATCTTAATACAGATGTCAACATGTTCCCGATTCTGTTAAGGAGTAAACCAAATCTTCCAAATAATTTTAAGTCACTTTTCAGTCAACAGAGGGAGCTCTAACCTAAGTAGCTCTTTATCCTCACTTTGGAGGATCTTTTTTATATGAAACTTTATGTGGCACAACATCCAGTGTCAATACATACCAGCCTACATTCTGCAAGGCCTGGTGAGGTGTTATAGTCATCTTTTTCTACGTGATAAAAGGGCATCACTTACAGTCATTACAGAATATGTTTTCAAAACAAACAAAATACTCTTGAGGAGAATTATGATGCTACATTTCATTGCTAGTCAAAGAACCTGAAAATAATTCCTTAATATTTTGTCCCAACTGTCAAGGACAAATACAGAAAATACATACAGATGACCTTTGTACTATTCCTTTTAAGCTTTCTACAGATCCACAATCATTTATCTGAAAACCCTAAGGTGAGAAACATTAGGAAATTCAGGATTGCTCAGATCTTAGGAAAGTAATATAGTAATAAAGTAATATATGGTATATTACCTAACTCCCCAATGGGATGAGGGGTAGTACCACATAGCCAAATACATTAGCATTTCTCTAAAAATATATGGCTACAAAAAATGGTTTAAAGACTATAAATAGCCTCATACTGAGTGACTTCTAGTATTGCCCCTAAATCAGTTTTGGTGCCAAACTCAAGCAAAAATTCAGTTTTCAGAGCTTTAAAATTTTGGAATTGCAGAGAAGGGACTGTGGAACTGTATGGTGAGATACTTAAGTTCATACTTATATGGTAAAGATTTTCTAAGAGTGTAATATAAATAACAATAACCGGTAAAGATAAATTTTTGAAATTCAAAGTCCAGAGTGCTAACCATTACACCAGGGGCCACAAATTTTTGAAATTAAATCTTTCAAAGGACACAAGTAAAATGAAGAAAAAGACCCAATTGGTCACAAAATAATCTTGAGTACCTTCTAACACAGAACACTGTTAGGTGAGGTGACCCAGGTAATCAGTCTTAAGCCCTGGTTTCTATCACCTGTTATATAATCATTTTAGTCATTTTGTAGCCAGAATGATCTAAAATACAAATCTTACCCTTCAGCGTTGATGGGACAAAACTGAGGCTGCTTAATTTGTGAGATAAGGCCCTTTATATGTGTCCTTTATATCCCTCTCTACCCTCACTCTCCATGCCTTTCCTGCTCCACCTACCACTCTACGCAGTTCTGAACTGCTCAGAGTTGCCTCCAACATGCTTTGCCCACTCTTACTACCCTGTCTGGACATGTCTCCTCTCTGCCTGAACACATGCTGCTGTTTTATTTGGCATCTCCTTTTGACCAATAAGATTCAGCTTGGATGCTACCACCTGGAAGCCGTCCCTGACTCCCATCCTTCTCATGCACTTCCACAGCAGCATAGACTTCTAGCTACAAAAACACTTGGCATACTATGCTAAAGAGGCAGTTTCCTTATAGTCCCTACACCAGACTTTGATCTCCCTGGGGGCAAAGACCATGTCTGCCTCTACATCACTGACTATGTCTTCAATATGCAGCACAGTTCTGGTACATGGATGGTGCTATGTTCCTATTTGCTAGATAAGTTAATGAAACACACAACAGGTTCAGTAGAGTGAAAAATCACTAGGTAGAGTTCAAGAAAGAATTTGAACTGGATCTTGGAAGATATGTAGATCTTTCTGACAGCTGGAAGTGGGAGAAGGCATTTTAAATTGGGGTGTGGTTGAAACAGGAAGACAGGACAGTGTCAGGAATAAGGTGCTCCATTGAGTCACCTTATTTCAATGGAGCACAGGGCTCATGGGGGAAGAAAAGGAAAAAGCTGAAAATAATATTATCATCATAATTAATTAAAAAGGCAATGTAGTAGAAAGAATGACAAATAACTAGCTATAGGAACTTGGGTAAAGTCACTTCCGTCTCCTGGTATTACCTGTAAAACTGAGGTGTGGGACAGTCTTTTTTTTTCTCTTTAATATATCTTTATTGATTTCAGAGAGAGGAAAGGAGAGGGAGAGAGAGAGACAGAAATATCAATGAAAGAGTCATTGATCGAGCCCACAACCCGGGCATGTGCCCTGACCAGGAATCGAACCCTGATCGCCTGGATCCTGGGTCGATGCTCAACCTCTGAGCCACACCCAGCCAGGTGGGACAGTCTTTTATAGTCCTCAGATTCTATGTTTCTTTTTAATCCTCACTTGAGGATATTTTTTCCATTGCTTTTCAGAGATAGTAGAAGGGAGAGAAAAGAGAAACATCAATGTGAGAGACACATTGATTGGTTGCCTCCCTCATGAGCTCTGACAAGGGCCAGGATCGAGCCTGCAATCAAGGTACGTGCCTCTGTTCAGAATTGAACCCGGGACCGGTCAGTCAGTGGGTCGGCTCTAACCACTGAGCCAAACCGGCTAGGGCAGATTCTATGGTTTTTAAAAGTGGAGTGGACCTAGCTTCCTGGGAGTGGTATATTTGGGGAGAGGTCTGGGTTCTAAGATAAGGAGTCTGGATTTCTAACTCCAGGAAGTATAAGTTCCCAAAATTACTGACCATGAGTGTAACCTGATGATGTAGTAGGGATTTGAAGGTAGAGGAGAGGCTCCAAGGCAGGCAGCAAGAAGACTGACTCCCCATGGGACTGTAAAAGTATCGAACAAGGCAATCTCAATGGCATGGGCATGAAGCAACATAATAATGACCTGGGTTTTACCCCTGGGGTAAATTCAGTAAGTCACCTTGGGATCTTAATAAGTATTGTTTCTAAAGGAATTAATGAACAGCCAGGCCAAATCTTTATTTTCTCCTTTAAATGCAAGCTGTTACCCAGATATAGATGCTGGAGACCATCACTGACCTTCAGCAAGGCTGACCGTGGGGAGGTGGCAGTCTCCACTCTCACTAACCTGATGCACACAGATGTTACACTTATCACAGAATACCATATCATTCCCTTCTTCACTGTCTGGAGACCGGCACACATCACAGATCACATCTTCATCATATTCTATGCCTAGCCCTTCCTCTGTCGCAATAGCATGGTTCATATTTTCATGGCATTGGCGTTCCAGGACTTCTACTGTCTTTTCCATAAGATTCTCATCAATTGGCTCACAGCCTGCACAGAAATACAAACAATTAACCCATCAGTCAGCTGTCATTCCCAAATCACCTCCTGTGAGCCCGGTGCAGGAGTGAGGAGATTTCAAAGAAACATTTACTAGAGCTACTCATAATATTTACCTATCATCGCATATTAGTGTTTGACACATGAAGGAGAAATATATTTCACCATATTCCTTGTAAGATATATTACTGACCCTTTCAATTTTCTGTTTAAATCCTAGCCAGTCTCTTCCTAAATCTGTTTTCTTTTATTTCTAGTGAGGGAGGACTTACACTGAGCTTAGTAATTTTGAATACTTTGTAATTTTGAACTCATAGCATAACAAAATAATTAGAATCACATAACTATTTGGATATAAATAATTCAGTATTAGCAAATTAGTCCCAATGAGAACATCTAATGGTTAAGCAAGGACATTTTCATACAAAAAGGTATTAAGTCATAAAAGAAAATTCTAGGTACTGTGTATGTGATTATACATATGAAATATTTTGTTTTTCAAACCTGACTTTAAAAAAATCCAGTATTTTCCAATGGCAAACGCCAATATGAAATAAACCTATTAGCATTTACAAAGATCTAACTGCACATTCTGATGTTATTTTTTTGCCTCCTGATTCCATTTCCTTCTGTACTTCTAATTTTTCTTAGTCTTCCATACTTAATAACCCAATATAAAAGATTCGTGGGGTGGATACTGATAAAAACAAAATATTTTTCTGCTGGGGGAGGAACTAATGATTTTGTGAGAACACCTTTGTATTTAACAGCTTATAAACTAGAAATAATTTTCAAAATGATCCAAAACAAATTTACCCAAGTATTGTACTTCATTTGTAGTATAAAATATCCTATGAAACTTTTGAAAATTCCACATAAACTACCTTTTAATGTTGTAGCCACTTATAAAATAAAAAAACTACCCAGATAATGTGTTTCATTTTTTTTCAGTCAAGACAAATTATACATTTTTTTTTCTCCCTCAGAGTGAAGGAGTTATAGTGTCTGGTTATAAGAGCACTTGAATTTACATTCCAACTTGACCTCATATTGGTTATGTAAACTTTGACAAGTTATTTATCCTCTTTAGGGCTTAGTTTCCTTATCTGTAGAATAAAGATAATGCCAAACTCACTGATCTCTTGTGAGGCGGAGATGAGGTAATAGTCATACACTGCTCACTATAGTGCCTGGTAATGTAGTAAGCACTCAATTTCTAAAATTCCTTAATCTGAGTAAAAAAATGCTTAATTTAATGTTGCTTTTATTTTAAGCTCTTAGAAGCCTCAGTATAATATCATTCACCCTAAAAGAATGCTTGAGATAAGGCAATCCTCTTTTAAAACACATCCAAGCCTAAATGTAATGTGGTATCCTGGATGGGATCCTGGAACAGAAAAAGGTCATTAGTAAAAAAAATTTAAAAAATGATGGAATTCCAACAAAGCCTGGAATTTAGTTAACAGTAATGTACCTGTGTTAGTTTCTTAGCTTTGACAAATGTACCATGGTAAAGTGAGACTTAAACATTAGGGGAAATGGAAACTGTGTGAGGGGTATACAGTAACTGTATTAAATGTGCAACTTTTCTGTAAATTTAAAACTATTCCTAAGTAAAAAAGTTTATTTAAAAAACTCATCCAAAGGGAATTAACTGAAAATTACCAAAGGGACCTTGTTATAAGGTGATGTCATGTCAAAGGCAGCGCTGTAATGACTGTAATGTATATGGATGTTATATGGTTCATAAACATCGCCCATTGAGCCATCAATCCACTTGATTATGCCCCCACACTCTGATTTTCCCTGTCAGTCTTTTATTCTCTTTTCTTTGTGGTTTCCACCCTAAATTAACCTCCCCTTCTCTTAGAAGACAGAGTAAGATCTTGAAGACATATAACGAAAAGTTTTAAGAAGCAAGTAGTAAGTATTGGTTACTGGAAGAATAAGTAACACCATTACGGCAAACTGGGTTTAATACAATTTTAATTTTTTTTCATATGCATTTAGATATCAATCTCGAAAGAAAGAAAGAAAGAAAGAGAGAGAGAGAGAGAGAGAGAGAGCGAGAGAGAGAGAGAGAAAGAAAGAAAGAAAGAAAGAAA